TAAGGAAAGTAAAAAGTATTAAATTATTTAATTTAAAAGTGCCCTTTGTTATTTCTCAGCTTGATGTTTTATTTTTACAAACGTTTTTCTCTGTGCTAGTAAAATTTTATTTAAAAAAAAATGAATTCTCGACTTCTCAGCTTGAATGAGTTAGTGTGGCGGGTGATCATGTTATTGCACCGGTGTTTGTCTTATATTCTCGATGTCATAAACGTATCTCATTAACCTGATGATGTCATGAGGTAACAGAGTCAGAACTCATTGTAAAATATTTCCAGCTTGTACGCAAAAAATCAAGATGAATTGTTTTCATTTAATTTACCTAGAATTGTTTTAAATAAAACTGGATATTTGGAGGGATTTTGCAGTCCTAAATAAGTTTTACTAAAACACAACTTTAAAAGCGCATTAATTTTTTTTCTAACATTTTGGATAAATGAAGAGATATTTCGTTTCATATAGTTTTTTGTTCAGATTTTTGTTTTTTGATGTTTTATCTGAGACAGATATTAAAGTGTGATGTCTCTGTCCACTTTGAACAGCTTTGTGACCTTTTAATTAAGAATGAAATAATCAATTCACTTCAATTCAGTTTATTTATATAGCGCCAAATCACAACAAAGTTGTCTCAGGGCACTTTACAGGAACATTCACATAAAAGCCAATTAGTAAAGTTCTATCTAAGGAATCCAGCAGACAAGTTGAATCTTGGCTTCGTTGCAGTCTCCCATCCTGAGCAAGCACAGTGGCAACAGTGGAAAGGAAAAACTCCCTTTTAAAAGGAAGAAACCTCCAGCAGAACCAGGCTCAGGACAAGCGGCCATCTGCTTTGACTGACTGGTTGAGAGGACAGGAAGGCGAAACAGACGAACATAGAATGGTAGGTCCAGGTGTATCTGAAAGACAAAAACCACATGTTAAGGATAGAAAAATAATTACAAATACAAAACAGTTTAGAGCTGCTGCCTCTCAGCGAGAAGGTCCTTGGTTCAAACCCCGGTCCAGGGGTCTTTCTGGGTGGAGTTTGCATGTTCTCTCCGTGCATGCGTGGGTTTTCTCCGGGTGCTCCGGTTTCCTCCCACAGACCAAAAACATGCATGTTAGGCTGATTGGTAACTCTAAATTGTCCCTAGGTGTGAATGAGAGAGTGAATGGTTGTTTGTCTCGTTTGTCTCTATGTGGCCCTGTGATGGACTTGCGACCCGTCCAGGGTGTACCCCGCCCCTCGCACAGTGATTGCTGGACATGGGCACCAGCGACCCCCGTGACCCAAAATGGAATAAACGGGTAAAGATAATGGATGGATGGATGGACAAAACAGGTTGAGCAGAGTAAGTAAAGACAGTAGTAGAGTGAAAAAATGTGGTCAGTTTTTCCTCCAGCAGTCTAAGCCTATAGCAACATAAGGGTGCATTCACACCAGCCCTGTTTAGTCCGCTTTATTCAAACTCTAGCTAGTTTTCCTAGGAAGTCCGGTTTGTTTGTGGAGGTGTGAACGCGTTTTCGAACTCTGTCGTGGAACAAAGAGGCGAACTCTGGCCCGGGCTAAAACCTAGGTCTCGGTCCGGTAGAAGAGAACTCCAGCGCTTTTCGAGTACAGTGTGAATGTAATCAGACCGGGCCCCG